TAATATCATTTCCTTTTGTTTGGAAAAGAGAGACACTGGCAGCGGTACACTCTACCCATGATTATGGGTTTTGGTCAAATGTCCTATATGTAAAACCAGAGTTGAATGGCATGTAGATGCTTTGCAGTGTGAGGAGTGCGAGGTTTGGATTCATAAGGCCTGCTTGTGTATGAGTGATGAAGAGTATGAGGATCATAAAACCAGTGAAGATGATGAATGGTACTGTGACTGCTGCCAGTTGAATAGATCAAATAATTTGACGTGGGGTACCATGGTTGGGGAAGGGTGTATACGGTCAGAACTTACGGGGATATATGATGAAATTATTACGTGGTGTAGGAATTTGTTTATGGTGCCAAGGGGTAAGAGTGGGGAGAAGTTTATCAAAGAGTTGACACGACTTTTGTACCTGTTTGTGAATAAAACGGCCTGGGAGAGTCTTTCATTGCAGCTAGTCCATATATTTATCCCTATTATGTTACAGAAGCCTTCATCTAAGTCAAAAGCTAGAGACAATGCCAAGTACCTGGTAGATAGACTAGAAAAGTGGAAGGATGGCGACCTCAATTCCCTCATGGATGAGGCTCGTGTCATCCAGGAGAAGCTAAAACGAAGGAAAAAGTCTGAAGATCCATCGAAAATGAAAGGCTTTAGTAGGTTAATGATGGTGGGTAAAGTATGTCAGGCCATGAAGCTCATCAACAACGAAGACTCAGTTGTTGGGGTACACACATTAAATAGAAAGATAAAGAGTCTATTACAAGAGAAACATCCTAAAGCTGAGACACCTCCAGCTGATATCCTTCTACCTATAACAGCGCCTCAGGCACAGTCGGTGATATTTGCTGAAATATCGGCAGAGCTAGTTGAGAAAGCGGCACTTCAAGTTAAGGGCTCAGGTGGCCCAACCCATTTGGATGCAGATGGGTGGAAGCACATCTTGTGCTCTAAAGCATATGGGAAACTTCCTTTTCAACTCTGCGGTGCAATATTAGCTGAATTTCAAAGCGTTTGTGTGTAGAGGATGTTAACCCAGAGAGTCTGAATGAGTTTGTGGCCTGTAGACTGGTACCACTGAATAAGGGTGACGATAAGAGAGGTAATCCTGGTGTACGGCCGGTGGGGGTAGGAGAGGTTCTTCGGCGTATTGTTGGCAAGGTGGTTATTGGGGTAATTAAGGATGATATACAAGAGGCTGCAGGACCTCTTCAGTCATGTGCTGGGCTAGAGTCAGGCATTGAGGCATCCATCAGAGCAGTTAAGAGGACATGGGAAGATCCTAAGACAGAGGCAGTGCTTCTTGTTGATGCTGATAATGCGTTTAACAGGCTTAATCGCAAAGCAGCTATTCACAACATCAGGCAGCTATGTCCTCCGTTTCACCAATACCTGAAAAACACCTATCAGAAATCAGCCAAACTCATTGTCAACGACACATATTCGTGTGAGATAATTTACTCTGATGAAGGGGCAACGCAAGGGGATGTGGCAGCAATGGCAGAGTATGCTATCGGTATTCGTCCTCTTATCAACATCCTGGCCAGCGTGACAAAGTTAGGAGAATTGATGCAAGCGTGGTATGCAGATGACTCTGCAGCAGCAGGTACCCTGAAGAAACTCCGGCTGTGGTGGGATTTACTCAGTGTGAATGGTCCTAAGTTAGGCTACTTCCCTAAGGCAGTGAAGACTATTCTTATCCTAAAAGAAAAATCGCTACTACCAGCAGCCACGTTTTTATTTGGAGAGACTGGTATAGAGATCACATGTGATGGGGAGCGTCATCTGGGAGCAGTGATAGGTGGAGAGGAGGCTAGAGAGACATATGTAAAAAAGAAAGTAGAGAAATGGGTGAAGGATGTAGAAGAGTTGTCAGATATTGCCCTCGATGAACCTCAGGCAGCCCTATCAGGGTATACCAAAGCCCTATGTCATCGGTGGACCTTTGTGATGCGTACCATCCAAGACACTAAAGACCTCTTCATCCCATTGGAGAAGTGTATAAGAGAAAGGTTCATCCCTGCAATTATTGGTAGGAATGTGTCTGATCTGCACAGGAGAATGTTTGCGCTACCTGTAAGTTTAGGGGGGCTTGGTATTGTTAATCCAGTAGAGATCGCGGAGAAGGAATACCAGACGTCACTCAAGATAACAGAGGAGCTGGTTGACCTTATCTATCACCAGGAGACATCCCTGATGAAGTTGGATAAAATTAAGATAAAGGGCAGAGTAGATTGCCTCAAGTTAGTTAAAGAATTACGCTTGAAAAAGGAGCTTGCTGAGATAATGAGTGAAGTGGATGAGAATACCAGGGAGTCATTGCAGCTGGTACAAGAGCATGGGTCAGGAGCTTGGCTAACATGTCTCCCCATTCAACAGCTAGGGTATGCTTACAGCAAGCAAGACTTCAGAGATGCTGTTCATCTCCGGTATGGTTGGGACATCCCTAACACCCCAAGATTCTGCGATTGCGGAGCCAAGAATGATCACAATCATATCCTCAACTGTAAGAGAGGGGGGTATGTGAACTACCGTCATAACAACGTGAGAGACTCCGTTGCTGAATACCTTAGGCTGGTGACCAAGGATGTGAGGATTGAGCCCCTTTTAACACCTATAGAATCGGCCAACTTCCAACAAAAGGGCAACAATGCTGATAAGGCTAGGCTTGATATATCAGCAAGAGGAGTGTGGAGCACATTTGAGAGGACTTTCTTTGATGTGCGCATTTTCAATCCTAAATCGCCTACATATCAAGGAAAGACCATGCCACAGCTCTACACTCTGCACGAGAATGAGAAAAAGAACCAGTACATGAACCGAGTGCTACAATTGGAGAAAGGGTCATTCGTCCCCCTTGTATTTACCACTACAGGAGGAATGGCACCGGAGGCCAAGTGTTTCATAATTTAAGGAGACTTGCTGTGTTGATAGCCACCAAGACAAAGGAGGACTACAGCCAGGTGATGTGTAACATCAGGACACGCCTGAGCATGGATATAATGAGGAGTGTGCTAGTAGCAGTTAGAGGTGTACGTGGAAAGGCAAAGAAGGCATGGACTGCCCCTATATCCAATGTCTCCTTCAACCTGATACCTGAGGAGAAGAGCTACGAGGGATAGATGATATCTATTGCTCAGGATTTACGATTGTGCTCTGCCAATTGCATCACTTGATTTAATTTATTGTAAATATACTGTTTGACACATTCTCAGGCGCAACAATCGATAAAGACCTAAACTGGAAATAAATAATATAGAAAAAAAACTAGCCACCTGCTGTGGCATGTTAAATAGAATAAAAGATAACATTCCCACATCACTCCATAAAGATCTGTATTACACTCTGTTTGAAAGCTATGTTGCCTATGCTATGGTATAACTGTCTTGAAGGAGCATCTAATAAAAAACACCACCTTGATACCACCTTAAAGAATAAAGAGGGAGCATCCTGGACCCCGAAATCCACCACCTTCCTGTACTTTCAGAGGTACCAATGTGGCAGAAAACCAGGGCTCATGCTGCCGCTGAGCAAAAGCAGTAGAGTGGATGGCGGCTTCTCTGGGATCTAACACATCCTGAAGCAGACCAACACTATGTCCCAGTGCGTGCCTGGGATAATAAGGCAGTCAAGCATCATGTAAGTTATGTAATATATCGAGCATTCTCAACCAACAAATGTAGGAACTCCCACTATAAAAAATCAAAACAGATTTAAAGAGATATTAGACAAGTAACAGAATCGGAAAAAATACTCGAATTTGTTTTTATTTTATTTTAAGGGGACCCCTATTCCATGTAGCTGAGACACCTCGCAGCAAGTAGACCAAAGTGGATCTTGCTTGTGAACGGTGGCATCAACTACCCGTCGAAGCGATGGTATGGGTTGGAAGTCTCCCCTGGGATCATTTCGTCCGTAAAATTGTATACAATATAAAATAGTACAGTAAAATAAGGATTTATTAATTTACATTAACAAATCTAGGAGACCTCAAATCTCGTCTAACTTCCAATTGCAGTAGTCCTGATTCTCACTGTATGCCAGTGGGGCTTCGTAATTACTAGTTACTCTAACTGTCTCTGGCCGGGGGTGCCATTGCGTCCTTCTCTGCTACCATTTTTTACTGGGCGGCGCTCAGCCTGTCATTCCGCCGAATCTATACTCTATTATGTTTATGAACATAATAGCCTGCATGGGGTCCCCAGGTAACCATTTGTTAATTTTATTGGAATCACAATGCAATGAAACACCAATACAGTGGACAATAAACCAAATACAGGGTGTGCCAAAAGTCATTGGACATACGTTCGCCTTCAGGCGGTGTTTGACTGATGTTACTCGTCTAAATTACTTCGAAGTAGCGCGAGTCACTTTCTTCTCGAAAGTAGCATGCACTTTTCTTCGTAGCACTTGCCATCGGGCAATTGAAACGAAGTTGCGCGCGCCGGGCCAGACCTGCATTAATAATGGTCAAGGTGGTGTCGACGGATCATACGAATGACGAAAAGGATTATTGACAAGCTGTGCCCTTCCCAGCAAACCCTACCGGCCGGGGAATATCTCCAAAAGTAAAATAAATAGAACCTTCCAGTTTTCAACAAAATTTCCGTCCCGTAAATTTAAGTTGTCCCAAATTTGGCTCCCCAAGAGCCAAATTTGGAACAACTTAGATTCTGAATTAAACCGAAAAGTTTGATTTTGGGCTAAATAAAATATCGCAGCTTTTAAACTTTGCAAAGTCATGTCGTTGTCATGACTACTAAAGTAAATGCAGCGTGCGAAAGGTTAACTCGATGTGACGCGCGACGACAATCGTGCTGTCGAAAATCTATCACCTCTAGCAAGCCCAGCAGGCGGTAAGGTTTTCTGGGTTATCATAATTAAACTTTAATTGACGATGTCAATTCATGGCAGCTCGGCGTGGCACAGTAGCGCATTTCGCCGATCTAGCCAGAGAAGCCAAAGTCGCTGTGAGAAGCTTGTAGCGCGATGCGATCTGGTGTTATGTAGGCATGAAGTATGTCGGAAGTAAGTTGCTTCCAATTCCCGGTAATGCTGTTTGTAAATTCGATTTGTTACTGCATGTGAATTAGATTTGTGATAAGAGTTGAAAGTTGCACTAAAAAGGTTTGATAAGGGAAATTGGCATAAAAAGGACACTTTATCAAAATTATCACTTAAAAAGACATTGATTTATTGGAATCGATAAGTAACCAGTTTTGAAAACCGGTATTTGCATTAATAACCTGTTTATTTACTTGTAACTTGCTTTGACGCCTCACACACTGGAACTCCCCCTTCCACCGAACAAGAAGGACTATATAAAGAGGAGCGCACAAGAGAATCATTGCCTTTTCATCACTGCCTTTTCCCTACACGGCCCGGGTTGTTGTGTGCTGAGCTCTCTCTCACACGTCGCTATTTACTTAAAAAGGTTGGTAGACCTTATTATCTTAAATCATTGACCTTAGTGTTTTCATTCTTAAAGATCGTCCCAGTATAATGAAAGTTAGGATTAGGTTCATAGATTCAAAACAATATGAGGCTATTAAATACTTATCATTTGTTCCCATCAGATTTTCCTAACGTCATGTATTGCGATTGGTTCCCGTCACTTCTGTTGAAATTCTTGATAGGCTAGGAAGTTTGTTCCTCGAGGTATACTTTTATAATTATTAAACTATTAATTAGATGTTGTTCATTGCAATGTTATTTCCAATTATTGATTCACATTGTTCGTAATACTAAAGTCATTCCCGATAGGTTAGTAATTAAATTCTAATAGGTTTATACCTTTCCTAGGTAATATTGTGGTGAGCCTATCCTACCTGTATGCTTGTCCTAACCTTAGCAGCACCTACATTATTACCTCGTAAGTCATTTGAGCATTTATTGATAAGTTCTTACATATTTCGTATTCTACAGTTCATTCTAATTTAACTTTATCTTGTTTAATTTTATCCTAGTTAGTATATTATTGTCATTAATTAATCCGTCATTTGCTAATAATTTGTCCCTTTCTAGGACATTCCCCTCCCACGGATTCTGCCCTCGTTGGCAGCATTGAAGGAACGTAGCTATGATATAGCAGCTACCCGTCCACTGAACTAGAGAGAGAGAGAGCCAGCCATCCCGTTATACTAATACTACGCACCATCGATCATCGTCACAGTTACTGAGCTGATTTAGGGTACGGACTTTACTAAGTGCTGTTTGTTCGACTAATTAGTGATTGTATTTTTATGTACCTTTTTCATGATTCTCATTTACTTGTTTCAATTGGTTATCTTCCAGATATAAATTCATCTTAAAGTTCGAAGTTAAAACTCTAGAAATAAATTAACCTAAAAGTTCGAAGTCCATAATCCTAACATAAATTCCTGTCATAAATCTACCATTGTACACTGAGAGTTTGGGTTTGAATTATGCCCTGAGTGAGTCTCAAACCGGGAGGTATTCCATAATATCGGAACCTGAATTTCCATACTCTAGTTAAAAGGAGCCCATTATACGTAGTTAAATTAATACCATCACAATTTAATGAAGTATAATGAATAAATAATCTCTAGAAGTCATGGAAAATTGGAGCAGTAAATAGGCCGTTAAGTAAGTTGTCGTGCTGAAATCCGAGTGCGCTTCTTAACATCTGGCTAGATCGGCGAGATGCGCTACTGTGCCGCGCCGAGCTGCCATGAATTGACATCGTCAATTAATGAGAAGCCTCATTGAGTGCACGGCGAGGCACAGTAACGCATCGCGCTACAAAATTAAACTGAACCATTATTGCCTGATTGCCGATATACACAGGAGGAGCAAAGTGCAAAGAAACTGTCACTAACTGCTACAAACTGCCACTAACTGCCACAAACTGCCACTAACTGCCACAAACTGCCACTAACTGTTACAAACTGCCACTAACTGCTACAAACTGCCACTAACTGCCACTAACTGCTACAATCGCGCCCACGCACTGCGCGCGCAGTTTGCAGCAGTTAGTGGCAGTTTGTAGCAGTTAGTGGCAGTTTGTAGCAGTTAGTGGCAGTTTGTGGCAGTTAGTGGCAGTTTTCTGCAGTTGCGCCGAGCCTTTTAGCAATTTGTCTTTGGCGCCTTACATGCCACATGACTTATTGACATTGTATAATTGGTCTAAAAACAATTTTGTATTATTAGAAAATATATGAATTTGGGACAAAATAATTTACTATCGAAGGAAACAAATATTAACTTTTTGACAAGAAAAGCGATTACCAACTAGTACTACAGTTACACAAACACTGCATGGCAATACGATTACAAATTGTTTAAATGTTAAATCCGGGTATCGCTATTAGTATTGTGCTATTGTGCCAAAATTACAATATTATATGGTCAATCGTAATCATTTGCAATTTGGAAGACCCCTCTGCTGATATGTAAACGACTCCTTATACTAACTTGATTGTAGCAAACCGCGTGATGTTTATTGATCATCAGTTCGATAGGACGATAGTTATGAGAAAAGCTACAAAACTACAATTTCCATTACCAAAGTTTTAGAACTAAACGCTTGATTGAGGGTTCAGAACTTTATTTGAATAACAGGGCCTCCCACGGATTGAACAGTTTTGTGCGGAGAAAGAAGTGAAGAGAGTACGAAGCCAAAGAGTTCTCCGACAATTATTCCAGCCAGCCTCGCCGCAGCAACGCCAACAGCAAGCAGGGACTTATCCATGCAACATATATAAGTATATACAACGCTGACCCAGAATGGACATGCCACGGTACCACTATAATATTTGCTTCGATTCTCCGTGATACTGATAGCACTAGCAGTAGCAGAATTTGCTGCTTGTAATTCCTGGGCGTTGCTGAACCTGTCATTCCGCCCTATCTGCTATAGACATATTTTTAATCGCCATAATATGTTCAATGTTAAATCAATGTGTTTAACTTAATAAATGCAAAAGCCTGAGCGAGGTTACCCAGGTAAATTAATCTTTGCAAGTTGAATTTGCGTTTCTGAAACTACTCTCTGCACTGGTAATTGTATTTAAAAGGGAACACAAAATGATGTACGTGACCAAAATTATTCCCCGCGCGACGCGATAAGATTCTCTTTCAGCATTCAGTTTCAGTTAATTCTGGGTAATTCGCGCGTAAAATCATATTGGCACGTGTGCGTTCCATGTTCTCAGAATTAGGCAACGGTAAGTTTATAATCTTTAACTTTAACTGTTTGGAAACAGGTGTTGTTATTTTATGCTGGGAATCCCAAAAAGTGCTTGATCGGCCAGTTCATCATTGTGTCTCGCTAAATACTTGGCTAGTTTCATTATGCTTCGACTAATCATCACTGTTGGCTTGGGGATGGTATTCAACTGTTGAGGGCCTACTGTAACAGCCATTAATACGCTTATAGTTTTCAGACAGCTACTAACCGATATCCAATGGGTCTCAGCCATAGAACAATACAGGCTCAATTCGGTGGCTCGGAAAAGTATAATCTATAATATTGAAAGGTTCATGCGCAAATTTACCTAGTTTAGCCGTCATTGATTAGGTACAGACCGACGGAATTGCTCATCAGCAGATCTTGCGCTTCCGCTGCTGTATCGGACGTCTGTGATCAAAGCAGTAAAGTCGACCTCCCATAAATTGACAACAGGATGTCCCCTGATTCTCCTAGGTTTCTGGATAGAAGTCGACTATTTATGCTCAATTCTCGAGCCGATAATAGTCTTGCTTAGATTTTCAGACAATAGTCTTAAGATTCCTGTTGGTTTCATCGGTGTAATTTATTACAAATATTATCTGTTCACCTTAAAGTTAGCAAATTTTGCTTTTCGCAATTGAAACTATAAAAGCGATATGATTAGTCTTGCCAACAAAAGGTGGCTCGAGCTCCATTCCCCCCCTACATTCAGTAGGGTTTTGTGTTCACCCGGCTTATATATCAGGGATATGATAAACACACGAATCAGGATGTCTGGAAGGAGTTTCTAGATGTCATGGACACGTGGTGTGACGGCGCAACAAAGAAGAAGATACTTTAATTTCGCAGTACACGTTCTACCGAGAGAAAAGAGGCTTATTCTCTACTGACGCTGCCTCAAGTTTTAGCCAAGATTCTGACGGTCCAGTCTCTTGGTGGAGCAACTTCGGTTGAGAGGTACCCGAACTACAGAGTTTTCCAATGAAAGCGCTGTCGCAATCGACATCAGCCTCACCCTGTGAGACGAATTGGAGCTTGTACGACTGGGTGATAAACAAAAAAAGAAACCGCCCCACAGTTAACAAGCAGCGAGACCTTATTATTATTTATGTTATTATATTTATGTTATTATATTTATGTTAACACAAGTTTGCGTCTTATGAAAAATTCACGAATTAAGGAGCAATAATTTTATTATTATTTGCTTATTGCTATACTAGTGACTTATTTTTATTCATTGTTGTTTATTTACTGTCTAATTCCGACAACATAGTTTTATCTCATTGTATCCATTTAAAGTTAAAAACGGACATTAAAATGAACGCTCGGAGCCCGGAGGCATTCAAACGTTTACGTACGGGCGTTGACTTGAACGTAAATGGGCAGACTATTTAACTTTAAGGTTAAACGGATATTAATATATGTACGCTATGCCCTAGCTGGGGCCTCTTCTCAGACTCTCGAGCGTTCAATTTGAATTGGTGTCGATTCAAAATTAAAGTTAATTAAAGTTCAATAAGATAAACTTATCATTGCTGGTTTGATTTTGGAACCTTCTCTAGACCTAGTAATTTTGGATTCGTAAGTTATGTGCGAGAATAGCTTCCCAGTCCCACGTCAAAGTGATTTATAGATTATCCTTATTTTTAAGGGAATCGTTAGGTATTCGTATACTTATAGTATAGTTTTATTATTACACGTACGTGACCAATATTATTCCCCGCGCGATGTTATTACAAATTAGATTCTCTTTCACTTTGATCAGTTTCTTTCAAAAACAGATTCGCGCGTCAAATATATTTAGTTTGCGCGCTTTTGGTACTCCCAAAAGTACGTCAAAATGCAATTCTGTGAATTGCATTATTATAAATTTATAGTCATAGGTAATAGGCTCCATGTCATTGTCCACAGGACTGGTCACCGTTAACCTTGTTTAACTTAAACTGGTTGGAAAACGCGGATGTGTTATGAAAAATAATGTTTATCGCTTTGCCATTCGGCCGGTAGAATTAGATCAGAAAATCATGCGGATACCGATAAGACGATAAAACAGTTATCGAATTTTATACCTTTACCTAAGGCTAATGGTGATGCAACGCTAATGGAATACCTTGATCAGAAAGAAGTAAGAACTTTTGCTTTTGGCAAATCTAAAAACCACGGAAATTTTCAGCGACATCAACGCTAAAAGTAAAATCGGAAACGATTTTCACTTCAAGATCTACTTAGAGAAAGGGTAATCTTACTGTAGTGCGACACGTACTGTAATGCGACACGTACTCTAGTGCGAAGTCCGACAAAAACACCCTCTGTCGCACTAGGGTACGTGTCGCACTACCATCCAGGTAGCGTACTCTACTGCGACAAAATATCCTGACTTATTTCCAAGCTCAGGTCACATCCTATCCTTCTTATGGACCATTAAGTGATTCGTCGGGTCGGTTCACGTCACTTATTTCGAATTGATCTTGCGAATACGATTCGTCGGTTCACATCACGTGTTTCGAAGTGATCCACTGATCACAATTCCTTCGGGTCAGTTCAAGCCACGTATGCAGTGTGTGATCCACCGGGTAACTCTTAAGCAGCATATGATCCTCATTCCTATCACACGTATCGTATGAAGGTATATCTCCGATTTGGATAACAAGTTCATATTCTTGGGCCATATATAAAGTCACGATGATTCTACCAAAGCATCGAACAACATCAACATGTATTCTTCAATCACCTCCATTCCTGGACGCACTACTGGTTCAAGAAACGTTATCCACGACGGATACCGCTACTGCCTGGATAATTAGAAGCGCGACGACAGGACCTACTGGCGATCCACTGGGAAGATCTGCTCCGGACGTCTCAGTCTGATGAACGACACTACTGTGACCAGTACGAAGACTTATTCCCACCCTCCTACTCCTGCAGCAAACTCTGTCCACACAGCAAAGCAGCATATGAAACGGAAAGCTTCCGATACTGACCTCCCTACGAAACACCTAATTGCTGATGCTGTTGGACATTATGAAGCCCTCTTGGATGAGCTCCTTGCTTTTGGAGTCGACCCTCAATCTGTC